CCCCAAAACCCCAAAACCCCAAAACCCCAAAACCCCAGAGGATAATGATTTGTGAGGAATAGGAATAAAAGATATATATCCATGTTAAAATAGATATAAATTGATGTGATAAAAGTTAAATTTGGTTTAATTTTTATGGAACTTATACCAAGTTATGATTTGAATTAATTGTAGTAGGTGCTTGCGAAAGTAGTTTATCAAAGCCCGACCGGTGATGCTCAGCATGAGAATCTTGGTGTGGCGACTGCGAGTGCTGGTTGCTCGTTAACATAGACATCGATTGAAACGTGTCTAACTTCTTTGTGTCCCCAGTAGAGGTTGATTTCGTAGGTGGTCATACCAGTGCTCAAAGCTTCGAGAATGACGACCTCCTACATGGAGCCTGGCTCAGACTTGAGTGGCATGTCGTAGTCAAGACCTGGGAACAAGATGTCGTAGTCGAGTGGACCTTTGTGGGGCTCATCCCATTCTTGCCAAGCGCAAGTATCCGCTCTGCCAGTTACGAAGATCAAATCACCAGTCTATACAAAAATGCCTTCTCTTTCAAGTCTATTAATTTGGCATCTGCTGTCTAGATTTACTAGCACTACCTTTGGTCCGTATAATGTGATATCATTGTACAAACAGGCCTCGTCGTGCTTGGCGTCGCATGTGTAATCATAAGTAACTCTGTCATGATGATGAGGTGGTGAAGGTTTACTGTAACCTTTATCACCATGGCCGTAAAAATGACCACCAAAGCCTCCCATAAGGCCATATCCTTGCTCTACTTGAGAGAGTTACTTTTCTGGGAGTGCATTGTCAACCTTAACTCCTGAAACAGCGGAGAATAAAGCAGCTCCTGCGATTATAAGGGATTTCATGTTTTTTAGTTTTAGTTATTATTATAGATCCGATCTTTTAGCTTAAATAGATCTTTGGGTAATTTTAATTTGGTATCATTCTTGACCGTATTGCCTGCTAGTTACTATTTATGATTTAGTATTAAAAAATTAATAACACCTCTGATTAGATATTAGTCACTAACAAATTATGTGAATTTACGGGGTTTTGGGGTTTTGGGGTTTTGGGA